TATTAATCAGAAGTGTTAAGTTCTGATTAATAAATAATCTTAATAGACAAAACAATTTAAGAAATAGATCAAGGAAGAAAACTATATGAAGAAAGGATTAAGTTTAAATACATTTTCCATTACATAACGGATTTTTTAGGTTCAACACACGCAATTAATTTTTCAAGTAATTCTCTCCACAAAGCGAATTGTCTTTTTCTTGTAAATTCGTTGTCGAATTTTCCGCTGTTCATTTTCTTATTATTTTCTATATATGTTACTAATATTTCTTTTTGTTCTTCGCTTATTTTTTAAAATAAAACATTCGAGGTTTTCATTTTGTTTCTGCGTACTATATTGCCACAAGACAACTTTTAACTGTAGCACGTGTAAACTAATTCGCGTTGATTTGTTTACAACTTGTTACAGTTAAGTTGATTGGTCGAATCATTATAGTCACAAACCCAGATGCATTGTAAATAATCCCATCATGCTTATCGACTAACGTAAACAAGTGAATATGACCTACTTCCGCTCGCCTTTCGAGTTCACTCGAAGGGTCTAACTCGAGACTACCGATTATGTGAGTCATACGAGTGAGTTCGATGACGTCAGTTCGAGTACAACACGAAAAACTCGAGACTAAGGGCCCTGAATGTAGAGCCGTGCCAAACTCGGTTACAGGACACCGTCATGGCATCGTGTCTACTATCTCACCTCAAATATGTTGTGTTAAATTTATTCTTTTAGATTTATATTATTCCCAATCACAGATATTTGTAACTAAAATATGAAAGATGAAAAAATAACGTTTGCTCAAATAAATATATTTATTTTAATACTGTAATAAACCAATTAAAAAAAACAAAAAATAAAGTAACTTTAGTATAGACTATTTATTACAGTATTTTATTACAGTATTATTAATAATTTTAATTATATATTCGATTTGAACTAAACATTACTGACATTGCAAAATTGTAATTAATAGTTTAATAACATTTTTTTATCTTGATAAAATTTTCACAAATTATTCATTATTTGCCAAAAATGCTTAATTAAAGTCTTGACATCTTTCTTCAGAAATAACATACGCAATACATTTATTTCCCTTTATACTAAAGACTTTGTGTTCATATTGTTAAGTATCTTTAATACACATCATACTTAGAATTATAATAAAAATAAAAACTCCGTATTGTTTCATATCTTGTAGAGAAGAAGGTGGTATTATGGAATTCCATTTTCATTATTGTCAATTGTAAACAAGGTATCATAACTACACCCACATTTTTTTGTGCGAAAAGTACTGGTAAGTATTGAACTAAATGTTCCTAATTGTATTTTTCGGTAGTGTAACTATAAGTATGGTTTTTGAAGGCTTTTGTACAAAAAGTCAGAAAGTACGCTTAGAAAAAACCGGGTGGTAATATGGAAACTTAATGTATGTTTTCAAAAAATGCTATAATGCATTCAAAAACAAATAGGAAAGTACAAAGAATGTTAAATAATTACAAAATTATTTACTCCAATATATTTTATCGAAAAAATTCTTTTATAATAGAAAAATATGACCTCCATCAACAATATATACTCCAGCAGTTCTTTTTCGATATTCTCAGGAAGAATTGGCTTTGTACCTAGTGTCTTTTTCACAAATTGCTCTGCACGGATGTCTGCTTGCAAAGAGAGTTCGAAGAAGTTGGGTTCCATATTAAAAGCACCAATGGGGTCTGTATTTCACGCATCGCCATCTCGAATTAACTTATGTCTGTCGAGACTAAACTTTAAAAAAACGTGATCATCACACATATTAATATGTATAGTACCCCTAAGTCTCTGGAACGGAATGCATGTATCAGTGAACCCACAACTACATGATTTATATTTTAGAAATAATTAAATTCACTTATCATTAAAAACTTTCGAATTTTGAAAAACGCAAATTTGATGATTTACTACGGATAACCGTTTAACTGAAGTGAAACGGATTTTTCCCTTGCTATGGATGTCTGCCTAGTTCAGTTCAGCCACAATCCGCTAAAGTTCGCCTTTATTATCAGTTCGAAATGGAGTGATTCCATAATACCCGCAGTGTTCCATAATACCACCTTTTCCTGTAATACATTTATTATATTAATACAAATAAAATAAATAATAAAATCTAAAAAAACTTCTTTTGAACGAATTCAATTATTCGTTGGAATTCGTTTATTTTGGATTTATTGTATTTGGATTACCCGAAAGGAGAAATAATTAAAATATTTATTAATTTCTAAAATGTATACTATATATGCCACTATTTAGTTTCCTTCTTTATTATTTACACTTTTTACTAAGTAAACCAACCTTTTCCATCGGTGTTGAATTTCCATTTACTCCCTTCTGAATCGGCATTCTCATATCATACACTACTAAAACGCAGTTAAAAACGCAAACGTATTAATTACACTGTTCAATGTGAACTTTCGAATGTTCTTCTAGTGTGTTTTTGGTCTTAAATAACTTTTTACAAATATTGCATTCAAACATATTTTCATGTTTAATAATACAATGTCTGGCTAAGGCAGTTTTATATGTGTAACATTTTTTACATATGTCACAAACATACTTTTTTTTATCGCTATGAATCACTTCATGCTGTTTCAAAGAATGTTTTGTCTTAAAATATTTCTTACAAACCTCACAATAATAGTTACGTTCATCAGTATGAGTTTCGCTATGCATTTTTAGTATGTATTTCCATTTAAAACTCTTATTATAAATATCGCATTTGAAAGGACGGTCTTCACTATGGGTTTTTTGATGGCTTTTTACTTGTTCTTTCCATTTAAAACTCATATTACAAATATCGCATTTGNAAAAAGTAACGATAGCAAAGATTAAGATTATTAGATTATAGCCGATCTTACTTTAGAGGGGAGAACTTAATTAAAATTAAAACGCAAGATAAACGAAAAAAATCCGCTTTTAAAATAGTACACAAGAAGGGATTTTACGAAAAATAGTACTAAGAAGGGATTTGTCGAAATTTCCCCGCGGGAGAAATTTCGACAAATCCCTTCTTAGTGTACACTTTCGTGACGTATCCTAAGTGTGTACCAAATTTCAACTTTTAACTCCTAACCGTTGGGCTCTGCGCTTATTATTATTATTATCAACCCTTCTCGATTATAGGATAGAGTGGATAGGGGTAAGATGCCTAAAGGATTGTGATAAGAGAACAAGTATAATTGCATAAAATTAATTTTCGAATATCTTTATCCAAATTAAATTTATTGCATAGTTAGTACAAAAATCTTTATAGTAAGTGTAACAGCACAGTATAAGTATTGTTAAGTTTCCTCCTGTTTGAACGTGCTCTACAGCTAGCTGAAAGCTATCTTCAGTCCAGGAACGTTTTTGAGAAGTCCTTATATAATTTCTATGCATGTCTTGTAATAAAACGAGAAAACAAAAAATAAAAAAAATAGGCATGTTATCGCAAGAAAAATGTGGCATCTTTCCCATTTGTCGGTGTAGTATGCCTAGTAGATTCGTGTGTTCTAGGATGTCAGATGGGGATCGGCGGTACCTGAAAATGAAAACATTAGAACCTTAACTACATCACACATTAATTGTTTTTCGCAATTTTTAATAAATTCTATTTTAACTTTTAGTTTTAAAATTAATCTGAAAACAGTTCCCAACAGGAAACTTCGTTCTTATCTTGTTTTTATTCTTCTCAAATGTAGAAAATTACGGTAACGGTAGCCAACTTTAGTTTTCCGCACTCAATATTGGCCGAACGATACAAACATATGACAGTATCTAACGTCACCGTTTAAAAATAACAAAAATTAGGCATTTTTTCCCGATTACCGTCTTAGCCAGAATCACTATACATAAAATTAGTACTTTAAAAACTTAGGGCCTGTGAAAATTAACAATACATTCCAGTCTGAGCACCCATTAATGGAGAACCCACTGATTTCAAAATATCACAGACATATACAGTATCGATAAAAACAATAAAATAAACACAAACAGACTTTTCGCTATTTATTTAAAAATATCGAATTTAATCCCATAATTGAGTTGTAATTTGAAAAAATTGAGACACCGATCAACTGTGTACGAAGATTTGGCAGAGATCGAAAGTCACGTTATTTCAATTAAAATCTTTTCTCCCGAAAAATGTTAATAAATAACCGGCACAACTCTATTGCCAAATAAAAAGTATAATGTACAGAAACAAGCCACTACTAATTTGAAATAAAGAAAGTATATTTTAAATTAAATACATTAAAAATGTGATTAAAATTTGCAGCCCGGCATTGTGACGATGCCATTAATTAATAATTGCTCGTTTCATTGAAATCAAAAACATCTAAATTTAAATTTTCTCTGTTGTAAGATTCTGATCAATTGAATTGAAAACTTTAAATGTGTCAACTAAATTAATTGTTATTGATAATATTAAATTCTATTAAAATCCTTATTCACGGTACACGACGTATTCGCAACGTTTTTCAAAATGTTATCATTTTCATTTATATGAATATAAAGTTATCTATTACCTATTATTCTTATCAGTAGAAAGATACTTTAATTGTATTAAAAGCATTAAGCCTCTTACCTCTTTCGACTTTATAACCAGAATGACTCCAAATAGTGGATAAGTTTGTGTTGCTTGTGGAAATTTGTTTTCCGTTAATGTTTATCTGAAATAATAAAAGAATATCTTATATAATTAGACATATTAATCTTTATAAAAAAACAAATGAAAAACTTATTTAAACTAGAGCATAAAAATAGGCTTACTAAATAATTTTTTTTAAAAAATATGGCCTACTAACGCCTTTTCTTTTAATAGTAGTGCCTGCCATCTATTTAACACGTTTCAAAGGAAAATTTTGACTTCAAACAACGTGAATTCCGGTTTTGAGCAGAGGTTCGGTACGTATACAGTTTATCGGAGCCTCCTGCCGAATTAAATAAATTTGATACTATATGAATACGTAAATAATTGTTAAAAATCGGACTGCAATTTGAAAATAGACTTAAATATTCCCACTTTATTTAAAGTGTAAGACTGTTTGACAGTCCTTTCTTAATTTCGACAACTTACAAGTTAGTTAGATAGGCGAAAGCCGAGACCAGATATGGAAAACTTAGAGGTACGAGGCCCCGATACAAGAATTTCCGATGAAAATCGGATGTGACGTTATTTATATTCAGAAAGTTTCCTCTGAAAGAAGTTAGATACGTAAACGTCACGACTCTATTACTAACAGGAAAAGTATAATGTAAACGGTCAAGCCACCACTAATATCAAATGAAGAGCATTTATTTTAAATTAAATAAAATATAATGAAAAATTTCAGCCCGGAATTGTGATGATGTCACAATAAATATCTGCTCGTTGATTGTCTTCCGTTTTTTACAATTAGAATAAGTTCAAACTTCTCTTACTTTCGGGTCCTGTAATGCGTATAACAAGCGAAAGTATAAAAATCGTGTCAAATTTGACCATCAGCTTATGGAAACCTCCACGTTTAAGTCTTCCTCAACCCAAAAAATGTTTAAAAGTATGAGGATTTTACTTGTGATTACAAATTACAATATTTGAAAAATACTATTTATCCCAATATGCCTATTCCTAATGGAAGCGCCGTATTGTCGAATACCGGACAGCTTCCACGAAGAAAGTATTTGAATAGCGTAAAGCATCTAGATTAAAGGCATGCGCGCATAGCACCAACCTCGCCGTTTAGCTGGTGCATGCTACACACCAAAATGTCGTATAACGCTTCTAATGATTTTATCCAGATCCGGCACATATTCCCTATCATCAAATGTCACTGCACGCTAGTTCATGTGACCACCCTCTACCTATCCATACTCTTGACCTTTTACAACTAAATTTTAATAGCATCAATGCCCCTTATATACAAACTACCAGGCGAAATTTCGTTCCTTTATCTTCATTCCGTCTTGACATATTAGGCGAAATAGACGTCAAAACACACACACACACATATATAAATATACATATATACACACGAAAGCAGCCAGTTTGGTCTTTTTTTACTTTTTTCGGTTCAAAAAGACTCAACACGTGGAGATTTGCAAAAAAGTCGCAAGGTCAAATCTGACAGGATTGCATTACTTGTTATGAAGATATAACGAGCAACAAAGTAAAACGTACTGTACAGTACAATTGTGCAAAACGTCACTTCATACAATATGAACAGGTAATTACCAGTTAACTATAACGTATACACAACAATATAAAAAATTTTAAAGACAGTCGGACCACAAAATTCCGTCAGTAAAAAACAGGTTAACCTTTTTAAAACGAACACCGTAGCCAAAACGTCAAATTTCATAGTAAAGAACCGAAATCGAAATCGAAAATAACGTAGTTGAGTTTAAAGCTCGTGGGGTCATTATTTATATAAATATACTATTTAAATATATATATATTTCTATTTCCCACTTTATATTTTAGCATTTCAGTTGTCTTTCTCGTCGTTAAAGCAACACTGCGATCTTACAAAAAAAGTATTTTTCACTCACCTCTAAGGGTTCCGATTTAATTGTTTTATAACACTTCACATCTGTGTTAAATTCTTTCTTGAAATTCTTTAAATCAACTTCAAAATTTTCTCCATTTCGTTCGATTGTAAAGTCCGAATATTTCGTTTCTAACTCTTTTTTTATCTTCATTTTCTCCATTAACGATATTCTGGTATGTCAGAAGTCTGTATTCAATCAAATAGTTAACTAATTAATAAATGTTCATTCGAAATTTAGAGTAAACAATAAGAAAAGACGAGGAAACTCATTACTATCGTTCCGGTCGTAGTAGTAAACAACAGGTGCACGTTCAGGGTCGACGGGAAAAACTAGAGTGTGACACGTGTCGAGAACACGTGTCACTTTGCCGCTACAATATCACTTGTTATATGGCTAATAGTGTTGTTCTTAAAATACACCTATAAACGTTTATAGTAAGAAACTAAAAATGAAATATTTAATCATATCCTTAAAACCTAGAAGCTTTCCGGTTTACATTATACTAGGTACAGGAACCTATGTAGATTTTTCGGGGCCTAGGGTTTATTGAATTACAACAGGGTCCCGTTTTTGTTAAAATTATAATTTTTAAATTGGGAATTAAAATTTATTTTTTAATAACATCAAAATTAAAGTTGATATATATATACGTATATATATATGAAATGTTAATAAAGATATATTAAACTTTATGATAATAATTTAATTTTTGTGCGCCCTAGACATTCGGGAGCTCAGAACTTGTAGTATAATTATAATATATAATAATATATAATGTAGTATAATTAGTATAATTAAGCAGATAATTCAATGCAAAATTAATATTACGAGAGGATACAGAGTTCATAATTTACTTTTAACAAAAGTTTGTTATATTTGTTCGATATTTTCTCTTATTTTTGTAAAACGATATCAAAGGAAAAACTTCCTTTTGTGTTAATGTACACCAACGCTTTGTAACTTATTTTTCCTTGTGTGAGACTTGGGAATATTTTTAGGAAAAACTTTTCTATGAAATTCACACTTTGCGTTCTTACCGTACATTGTTCTCCAAATCTATAAATCATTAAACGCATTGTTCCTTTACACCCGTTTTAAAAGAGTTAAGAAAAAGATTATCAGCGAGTCCAGTGACCCCCTTCCTTTGCCTAAGGTCATTGTCCAATACTCTGCCTCCCGTGCCCCCTGTCGCCCACTTGTTATTTTTCGTTTTCCTAGATTCGGTTTGGTTTGTTTGAGTTTTGGCAACTCAACAAATGGGCCATCTGCCTAGGAGGATGCGTTCCGGGAGTTCTTTTAAAGGAAACTGTCCCCTATTTAGACGTTACAGACGTGGAGAAAATCCGGAAAACTCCACGTGGGCAGCCGTCCTAGCGAGGCACTAACCCACGACCGAACTCCTAGTATTTAGGGTCATTAAGTCCGCTATGGCGCGTTTCCATCAGCCAATAGCAGTTCGTCTGGTAGTTACGTAAGAAAATAATAACACGTGGTGTTTTAAAGGGTAAACTGGTTTTAAAATTGCTTTTGGTGAAGTAAATGGGTCTTGTAACACACTTGTCATCTCTGCATCCGCCGCCACCAACCACATATGATCAGTATCTAGGTTTTTCCTGATGCGCAATTAACTTACTGCCCCTAAAAGACAGCTTTTTACAGACGAATGACATTAGAATAAAGAAAATATAATACATTTAATACAAATTCTAGAAAAATAATGATATATAATTTAATTCAAAGGAAAACCCGAACGAATGTTAGTCGAAATAGTATTCTTGACAGATCTTGATCGAGGAATATGCGTATTTTGTACACCAGTTCTTCCTCGATACAAGAAAATATCTCTCATCCAAAATAAAGCGAGCCGTACGAAATAAAATTTGTAAACACGTAGATAACGGAGGTGTCGGTATCGTTCGCCATCTTTAATACTGTACGCATGCGCCGAAATGTAATTAGGTTGCCGCTTGTGTGGTTGTGCTGCCACGTGGTGAAAATGCGTTTGCGTCACCGCTTTTTGTTGCCGCGCCACATGAGTGCATCTACCCTAATGGCGACTCCATTAACTCTCCACTCAGTCGACCTTAAATCATCGAAATTTAATAGCATCAATCCCCTAAATGAAAAGAGAAAACCTAGAAAAGGATTGACGATGTAACAACGTGTTTGCCAGACGAGTGATAAAAACGAGGTGGTTTCTAGAAACAATATTTGTTTATCATACATCACGTGAGTTTTCGTAGCTACAAACTATGACGTGAGTTGGTGACGTGTTACTTTCACAACCTCTTGAATTCTATTAAGTTTGAGTGTACACCCCTTGTTTAATGCTACAACGCGAACAATAGCAATGAATTTACTTGCCTGCTTTTGTTAGGGCTCTTTCATATTATGGCCAACTGGTCTGACATAACAAGCGTCTAGAGCACTGCTCTAAATTATGGCGAACAGAGCAGTCGGTCGACAGACAAGTCGTTCCAGTTCGACAGATTTAAAAAATTCAATAATTTGTAATCGGTCGGAGCAGTCGGTCACATTGTTAAATAGGTCTTACTCGCCGTGAATTTATTGTGAATATTTATTAATTTATATCGATTGATGACACTCTATTCAAGTAAAAGAAGTAAGTGTTTTCTATTATATAAATTTTATTTATTAATTTATCTTTTCAGGCAAATATAAGTTCAAACTCGACGGTTTTAAAACCTATTGAAAACAGATTGTTGACATACGAGAATATTGTAAACTGAGGAAATGACGATAAAAGTAGAACCAGGAAGAAATATTCAGAATTCATATTCAGTGGAGGTGATGAAAAGTTCTAAGTTCTTTTAAAGAATTGCACACAGATAAAAGAATATTGTACAAGAATTAAATCAGAACATAGAAATGTACAGGTGAGTAAAATGTACTTTTGTATACGACTCCAGTGTTGATTTAAAAGCGTCATTTGCAAACTTTGTACGTTTACATTACTGCTTGGAAGCAGTAATATATTTTTTTTATCCGTATGCAATTCTTTAAAAGAACTTAGAATTTCTCATTACCTCCACTGAATGTGAATTCTGAATATTTTCGTTTTGGTTTTACTTTCATCTTCATTTCCTCAGTTCAGAATATTCTCGTATGTCAACAATATCTTTTAAATAAGGTTTTAAGGTTTTAAAACTGTCGACTTTGAATTTATATTTGCATGATTAGATAAACAAATAAACAAAATCTATATAACAGGAAACACTTACTTCTTTTACTTGAATAGAGTGTCATCAATCGATATCAATTAATAAATATTCACAATAAATTTACGGCTAGTAAGGCCTATTTCACACTTTGGCTGCTCCAATCCATTTACAAATATTTAACTTTTTAAATCTGTCGGTCTGGAACGACCTTCTATCGACCGACTGCGTTGTTCTCCGTATTGGCATAATTTAGCTTGTGGAGTCGGACCAGTCGGCCATAATATGAAAGAGCCCTAATAAAGGCAGGCAAGTAAACTCATTGCTATTGTTCGCGTTGTAACAGTAAAAGGTGTGCATACTCGAAGTATGATAAACAAATATTGTTCCTAGAACCAAGGCCATCGTTATTCAAGTCTGCTTGTGAGTGTTATGACGTCACAGTACTGATCATTTCCTTAACCGATCTTCAAAGCGTTAATGATCATTTAAGTTAAACCTCAAAACATCACCTCAAACTCCTAGTTATAAAATATTGAATTATTTATCTATTAAAATTACATTTCTTCACTCAAAAGTTTCCAAAATACAAAATATTTGAATAAATTCTTTGTAAATTATTCTCCCATTTTATTCGTATGATATAGAACACAAAAAGTCCATTTCGATTCGTTCTTATTAACTATTTAATCGTATTTTTGTGATTTGTAATTAAAATAAGTTCAGCTCTGGCTTACAGTAAATATGACATTTAGGAGCTGTCCATAAATTACCTCCGCATTTTTTCCACATTTCTTCTTTCCCTACCACCATTGTTCCAGTTTGTCCAAGTTTCTCTAACTCCCTCTCCTGTCTTCGAACGTCCACTAAACTCTACCATTTTTAAAAGCCTTCATAACTTTACGAATGATAGATACAATAAGTAGAAACAAAACATACAAGAAATTTTAAAATAAATATAATAAAATGCATAAACCATATAAAATTTAATGAAATAAGCGAACGTCTACTAAATATCAACCGCATCCTTCCCCTTCAGTTCCTGAACGGAAATGTCTGAAGTCAACACTTTACGTGGGGCCCCCTAATTCAAATTTGCCTTGATCCCATGAACTTAAAACGAGCCACTGTTTATTTGTCTGTTTTAACGATTCCAATAACGATTCAATTGTATTATTTATAATTATTTATAGTATAGTAATTAATAACGATTTTACTCGTTATTAGCAATTGTATTTTTTTTTTCTTTTTATAAAACTCATCCCAACCCTTAAAATTACGCTTCTTGCCATTTTATAATGTTTAAAAATATATAAAAGTTTTAAATAATATATGATAACAGTTGGCGTCATTAAAATTTTTCATATTGCTGGGAAAGTTGTGCAACTCGTTGCTGGTTTATCCTAATATCGAATTTTTCTTTCGAATGAAGTTAGAGAGCGGGTGTGTGTTTATATAATAGATTAAATTTAATATACTTGTTAATGTTTTCACAATTACTTTTTAAATCGACGATATTTCCCTTCGTTTTTGAATTTCTTCCCCTTTTTTTCGTCTACGTGCGTCGGAGGTTTAAGAATTTTGGCGACTACACTGGCAACAAGTATTACCAGGGAGAATTCAGGGAACTGTCCTGTTACAGGATGATTTCATTTTTAAGCGCAGAACTCCTCCAATTACAACTGTCAAAACAAAATATCCACTCTTCCGACATGTTACACAAGTTGGAGTGATTAGCACAGAGCAGTTGGCGCTATTCCCATGTGGGTGACGAGTAAATCTACAAAATAAGCAAGTAGAGGGCAGGGGGAATGGAGGTTGTTGGAATTGGTGGGTATAACTTCACACTGATTGGCGCGAATTCTTACGCTAGAACAATCGAATCTGAAGGAACTAGTCTTATCATATTTTAACAGAAAAGGAAGTTTCTCCTGCAATTTCGTATCTTTACAAATAGAATATCGAACAAATTATTAATTGTAACTCTTTTTTCCTCTACATAACTATTAAAAATTATTTTAATGTTGTTTCTCACAAAAGATAACCAAATTTAAATTTATTTTCATTTTTTTCTTAGTAATTTAATTCATTTATTTTATAAATTTACCTGCTTTAAATTAGGTGCGTTTTAAAAATTATACTATTAATTAATAATTAACCATATAACACGTGATTTTATAGCTGCAAAGTATCACGTGTGCTGGTGACATGTAACCACTGGAGTTTCTTCCGTTAACCTTGAGGGTGCACCCCTTGATGAAATCACTGAACACTGTTGATTGTGGGTTCGTGCCTGGTGTTTTCGGTTTTATTCACGTTTCTAATACCAAAATACATGCCAGTTTCCCTTATGAAGCACTCCTGGGATGATCCCCCTTTAGCAGATTGCCCACATGTCGCATTGCCGTATACAACGTAAACCAAACCGAAAAGAAAAATAAATAATTTACAATACATGTAAGAAATAATTTAGTTTTAAGGCAATTTTCTAGTACACAACATATTTATGATATACATAATTATTTTAATGTATAACAATTTTTTGGTCTTATTTCTATATTCTTTAGCCTGTCAAGAACGAATTCTCCATTCCCGACAAAAATTCTAATAGAAATGAACCGAACGTACTGTACAGTACAAAGTAAGTAACACGTTACAAGTTTATTTGTTAAATGTTCGTTTTAAGATCAGAATTTTACATATAATATTAACGCTTCCCGCCATTTATAATTTCGGTGGAGCCATGGTCGATTTTTAACCACAACAATTTAATAGTATCAATATCTTTAATAAGTAAATCTCCCTGAAAACTTGGATATGTCTAGATTCGATCCCGGGTCCCTCAAGGCCGTAGATTACAACCTCGACCACTCGGCCATCCGGCCCATATACTGTATTAAGGATTTTAAAATCACGTGATAAGTTTAAACCAACCAGGGGCCTTAGTCTCGAGTTTTTCGTGTTACAACTCCCAACGTGTTGAAGGTGTCACGTGGTACCATCTCACACACTGACGTCAAATTGGTAGTCTCGAGTTCTAACTCACGTGCTTTCCCATCTCACCATGCGAGTTGCTACTCACGTTGAGTCGAGCATGTGAGATCGCTACACGAAAGTAAAAATGGCTGACGGATACGCAATTCTTATCGCTATCGAAGAGTTAGAAAGAGCCGAAAGACGTTGTTTGAGAAGGCAACGAATTTTTCGACCACGAGTAGATGACATTTCTTTTCGTGTCAAGTCAATACTAATAAAAAAAACTTTAATTCATAATTGATAAATGTATACAGCAAATTTTTCTAAAAATAAAAAGAAGTATCTAATTCATCGAAAAAGAGTATTAAAATGATAGTAAATTATATGTATAGATTATTAAAAGCATAGACACTACATTAAGATTATTTATTAATCAGAAGTGTTAAGTTCTGATTAATAAATAATCTTAATAGACAAAACAATTTAAGAAATAGATCAAGGAAGAAAACTATATGAAGAAAGGATTAAGTTTAAATACATTTTCCATTACATAACGGATTTTTTAGGTTCAACACACGCAATTAATTTTTCAAGTAATTCTCTCCACAAAGCGAATTGTCTTTTTCTTGTAAATTCGTTGTCGAATTTTCCGCTGTTCATTTTCTTATTATTTTCTATATATGTTACTAATATTTCTTTTTGTTCTTCGCTTATTTTTTAAAATAAAACATTCGAGGTTTTCATTTTGTTTCTGCGTACTATATTGCCACAAGACAACTTTTAACTGTAGCACGTGTAAACTAATTCGCGTTGATTTGTTTACAACTTGTTACAGTTAAGTTGATTGGTCGAATCATTATAGTCACAAACCCAGATGCATTGTAAATAATCCCATCATGCTTATCGACTAACGTAAACAAGTGAATATGACCTACTTCCGCTCGCCTTTCGAGTTCACTCGAAGGGTCTAACTCGAGACTACCGATTATGTGAGTCATACGAGTGAGTTCGATGACGTCAGTTCGAGTACAACACGAAAAACTCGAGACTAAGGGCCCTGAATGTAGAGCCGTGCCAAACTCGGTTACAGGACACCGTCATGGCATCGTGTCTACTATCTCACCTCAAATATGTTGTGTTAAATTTATTCTTTTAGATTTATATTATTCCCAATCACAGATATTTGTAACTAAAATATGAAAGATGAAAAAATAACGTTTGCTCAAATAAATATATTTATTTTAATACTGTAATAAACCAATTAAAAAAAACAAAAAATAAAGTAACTTTAGTATAGACTATTTATTACAGTATTTTATTACAGTATTATTAATAATTTTAATTATATATTCGATTTGAACTAAACATTACTGACATTGCAAAATTGTAATTAATAGTTTAATAACATTTTTTTATCTTGATAAAATTTTCACAAATTATTCATTATTTGCCAAAAATGCTTAATTAAAGTCTTGACATCTTTCTTCAGAAATAACATACGCAATACATTTATTTCCCTTTATACTAAAGACTTTGTGTTCATATTGTTAAGTATCTTTAATACACATCATACTTAGAATTATAATAAAAATAAGAACTCCGTATTGTTTCATATCTTGTAGAGAAGAAGGTGGTATTATGGAATTCCATTTTCATTATTGTCAATTGTAAACAAGGTATCATAACTACACCCACATTTTTTTGTGCGAAAAGTACTGGTAAGTATTGAACTAAATGTTCCTAATTGTATTTTTCGGTAGTGTAACTATAAGTATGGTTTTTGAAGGCTTTTGTACAAAAAGTCAGAAAGTACGCTTAGAAAAAACCGGGTGGTAATATGGAAACTTAATGTATGTTTTCAAAAAATGCTATAATGCATTCAAAAACAAATAGGAAAGTACAAAGAATGTTAAATAATTACAAAATTATTTACTCCAATATATTTTATCGAAAAAATTCTTTTATAATAGAAAAATATGACCTCCATCAACAATATATACTCCAGCAGTTCTTTTTCGATATTCTCAGGAAGAATTGGCTTTGTACCTAGTGTCTTTTTCACAAATTGCTCTGCACGGATGTCTGCTTGCAAAGAGAGTTCGAAGAAGTTGGGTTCCATATTAAAAGCACCAATGGGGTCTGTATTTCACGCATCGCCATCTCGAATTAACTTATGTCTGTCGAGACTAAACTTTAAAAAAACGTGATCATCACACATATTAATATGTATAGTACCCCTAAGTCTCTGGAACGGAATGCATGTATCAGTGAACCCACAACTACATGATTTATATTTTAGAAATAATTAAATTCACTTATCATTAAAAACTTTCGAATTTTGAAAAACGCAAATTTGATGATTTACTACGGATAACCGTTTAACTGAAGTGAAACGGATTTTTCCCTTGCTATGGATGTCTGCCTAGTTCAGTTCAGCCACAATCCGCTAAAGTTCGCCTTTATTATCAGTTCGAAATGGAGTGATTCCATAATACCCGCAGTGTTCCATAATACCACCTTTTCCTGTAATACATTTATTATATTAATACAAATAAAATAAATAATAAAATCTAAAAAAACTTCTTTTGAACGAATTCAATTATTCGTTGGAATTCGTTTATTTTGGATTTATTGTATTTGGATTACCCGAAAGGAGAAATAATTAAAATATTTATTAATTTCTAAAATGTATACTATATATGCCACTATTTAGTTTCCTTCTTTATTATTTACACTTTTTACTAAGTAAACCAACCTTTTCCATCGGTGTTGAATTTCCATTTACTCCCTTCTGAATCGGCATTCTCATATCATACACTACTAAAACGCAGTTAAAAACGCAAACGTATTAATTACACTGTTCAATGTGAACTTTCGAATGTTCTTCTAGTGTGTTTTTGGTCTTAAATAACTTTTTACAAATATTGCATTCAAACATATTTTCATGTTTAATAATACAATGTCTGGCTAAGGCAGTTTTATATGTGTAACATTTTTTACATATGTCACAAACATACTTTTTTTTATCGCTATGAATCACTTCATGCTGTTTCAAAGAATGTTTTGTCTTAAAATATTTCTTACAAACCTCACAATAATAGTTACGTTCATCAGTATGAGTTTCGCTATGCATTTTTAGTATGTATTTCCATTTAAAACTCTTATTATAAATATCGCATTTGAAAGGACGGTCTTCACTATGGGTTTTTTGATGGCTTTTTACTTGTTCTTTCCATTTAAAACTCATATTACAAATATCGCATTTGAAAGGACGGTCTTCACTATGGGTTTTTTGATGGCTTTTTACTTGTTCTTTCCATTTAAAACTCATATTACAAATATCGCATTTGAAAGGACGGTCTTCACTATGGGTTTTTTGATGGCTTTTTACTTGTTCTTTCCATTTAAAACTCATATTACAAATATCGCATTTGAAAGGACGGTCTTCACTATGGGTTTTTTGATGGCTTTTTACTTGTTCTTTCCATTTAAAACTCATATTACAAATATCGCATTTGAAAGGACGGTCTTCGCTATGCTTTCGTTGATGTTGCAACAACATATATTTCCACTTAAATTCTTTTCCACATATTTTGCAAGCATGAGTTTTGTGTATTCTCTTGTGTATCTCTAAACGGCCCTTACCATATCGAACGCGCTTACCACAAATGTCACAATACACCTTTTCCCGCTTGATATTAGATTTTTTATGAATACGTTTATGCTCTCGCAAAGAACCTTTTGTTTTAAAATATTTGTTACTTATATGACAAGAATATTTGTATTCATCGCTGTGTATAATATTAATGTGCTGTTTTAAATCAGAACTACGTTTAAAACTTTTGTTACATATGTTATGTGACAAATATGGTTACGTTCATCATTATGAACTACTTTATGAATTGCCAAATTCTGTTTTGTTTTGAAACTTTTGTTACATACTTGACAAGAATAGTTACGTTCATCACTATGAGTTTGTTGGTGGCTTTTTACTTGGCTTTTCCATTTAAAACTCTTATTGCAAATATCGCATTTAAAAGGACGATCTTCACTATGCGTTGATTTATGACGTAACAAACTATTTTTAAGCTTATATTCTTTTCCACATATCTTGCAGGCATAAACTTTACCATTTGTTGGCGATTGCTTCACTCGATCTTCAGATGGCTGCATACGTAAATTCCTATGAGAGATTTCGTTTTTATTTTCAGTTTTGTGCTCTTTCGTGTGTCTTCGCAAAAGAAATTGCCATAAAAACTTCTTATTGCAAATTGTGCAGCGAAATGGATTTTTTCTAATATGACAGAACAGATGTGTTTCTAATATTCTCTTATGTTTAAAAGTCTCTTTACATAAATCACATGTAAATTCCTGTTTAGAATGAGATGCAAACAAAATCTTGAAGTATTTCCTTTTAATCTTTTCATGAATTTTATTGCATTTTCTAGAATTTTGCATGAATTTGCATGAATTTTGCTGAATATCGTATTCCTGAATTTGCTCTTCCTCCTCAACTGAAAATTTAAAAAATAACATAATGAAATTCTTATTATATTTCAATAAACACAATATAGCTTCAATATTAAAATATAAGTGCTGAACTTATATAATTGGTAAAGTGTACCTATATTTTTCATTTAACTCGTGGCTACTAATTTGACGTCCACGTGACATCTTCAACACTTTGGGCGATGTAACACGAAACACTCGATACTAAGGGCCTGGCAAAGCGCGATTCCACGACCGAACTCCCAGTGTTTAGGGAATGGAACCGCTTGGCCACTGGTGAGCCCAAATGAATGTGAAAAATTACATTGTTCTATCTGTATCTTACTATATCTGTTTTTATTGATATTATTTATTTAGTTTTTTCTTCAAGTGGTAATCATAAAAACGCAGCAGAAATCGTGTGCTTTTAGAGAGAGGGGAAAATTATAAGTGTAAAAGAATAGAAACCACATAACAAAAGACTACGTATTTTAAGAAAAAAGAAAAAATCGGCGGATTATTGAGATTTTCTGAATCAGAATACGATAATTTGAGCGTGTGTCCAGTAAATGTACATTGTTTTTTAAGATTTTCTAACACGTCGCAAATATTTACTTACTTATATCATTAAATAAGTTATATAGCCCTTTACTTGATTTTATTACATTTTATTATTATTATTATTCTAGCGTATCGATTAACAAAGCAAAATAACACGAATTATTAAATCATATCTCATCATCATCCCAACATATTTTCATTAACTTTAAGAGATATTAATACGTTGTAAGTAGTTACTTATAACTCTCAAATATCTAATCTCATCTAAATGTATCACAGTTGAAACTTGAATGTAGTTCATAAGCTGCTTGCTAAATAATACAAATATAAAGTCTGAACTAAGTAACATGTTACTTACTTTGGATATTCATTTCATTCCTGTTAAAATTTCTGTCCGGAGTGAAGAATTCATTGTTGACAGGCTGAACAATATACAAACAATACATGACAACTACTAATAATCACTTAAGACGTATAAACCAGTAACGAGTTGCTTAACTTTCCTAGCAACATTTAAAATTTTGGTGGCGCCATCTGTTATAAAACGTTTTTTAAATAAAATATGATGTTTTTAATCATTATAAAAAGACAAAAGACTGAATTTTCAGGGTATATATCAATTTTGTAAAAAATTTCAAATGCTAATAATCAGTAAAATCGTCGTTAAGTTCGACCCTACTGGAGATACACAGGAATCCTATTGTATCCACGCTCCTTCGACTTTCAGTAACAAAAATTTAATAGCCTCAATTCCCTTAATAATTAAATCTCCCTGATAAATTTCAGAAATTTTCGACATAAAGAACCAAAGTTATTAATCTTCAAACATAGTGAAAGAACATCGTGTTCCACATAAACACACACAAGCACATATACTGACATCCGTACATACAGAAAAAACCCACGGATTTTTTTGCATTTTTCGACGATTTAAGGTGTCCTAAGTATATAAATGTAAAAATCTTCAGGGTTCAATTTTTGAACAATCACCATACTTTTTTGTGTAATATATAACAGCCGGAGAAGTAATATGAAAGTCACTACACAGATGATGATTTAATACGTATAATTTTATATATATATATTGAAAAATTTCATTAGAATTAATCATATTGTGTAAATTTTGTAGAAATTCTTTAGTCTTTCGCATAAAAAATATCACGCGAATCTTCTCATTTGTGACAAATGAGTTATATTCTCCATTGAAAAAATCTTCTGCTGCTGATGTAGGATTATTTAGCTACAGATTTAAGTTTTATGTAAAGTAATTTGTTCACCTAAAGCCAGGAAAAATGTTCTATAAAAAACATTTTTACACCTATTAAATTTTCCAATTAGTTGTAAAACCGTTGTGTTCGTTTTACTACTTTACTTTGTTGTAATTAACTGCTACTTTACAACCGGTTAAAACTAGAAGTTGCAAAGTTTATTAATTCATTGTAATCCGTGTATATCTAATTAACGTTTTCATAGTATTAGAAATAATAAATAAATCTAGTGTTTCTAGTGTTACCACTATTCACGGCGATAGTTACCACTATCGCCGTTTTAATGAGTTTCAAAGTAAATTTGGCCAAGGGCCTCGTAAAACTTAGGCCCGCCTGTATGTTGGGCCACATTCTTCGACATGTGGTCGCATCCATTGTGCACCTGACCAACTAGTCAATGAATCTAAAATAAAAGCTCATTGTTTATTCTTTAATTTATCGTGCGCAGAAAAAGCAGAAATACTCAAGCTACCAACTGAGAGAAATTTGAAACGCAATAAATTACAAATATTTCTTTTAATATTTCAAAATAAATTGAAGATTAAGAAACGAAATTTAGTATCGTACGTTGTGCATAAAGCGCATTAAATTTTGGTGAAGAAACGTTGAAAGATGAAGAGATAAAAAATGGTAACGTGTAAAATCTCTAGTGAGATTAGACTTAATGAAGATTTTATTTGTGGTTACATTTATAATTTTTCGTGGAATAAATTTCTACAATTAAAATTAAGCATTTCTTCATTTTATAATAATTCAAATTATAGAGAGTTTTTATAACACATGGCGTCACAGACAATTTTNCGTGCGTCGGAGGTTTAAGAATTTTGGCGACTACACTGGCAACAAGTATTACCAGGGAGAATTCAGGGAACTGTCCTGTTACAGGATGATTTCATTTTTAAGCGCAGAACTCCTCCAATTACAACTGTCAAAACAAAATATCCACTCTTCCGACATGTTACACAAGTTGGAGTGATTAGCACAGAGCAGTTGGCGCTATTCCCATGTGGGTGACGAGTAAATCTACAAAATAAGCAAGTAGAGGGCAGGGGGAATGGAGGTTGTTGGAATTGGTGGGTATAACTTCACACTGATTGGCGCGAATTCTTACGCTAGAACAATCGAATCTGAAGGAACTAGTCTTATCATATTTTAACAGAAAAGGAAGTTTCTCCTGCAATTTCGTATCTTTACAAATAGAATATCGAACAAATTATTAATTGTAACTCTTTTTTCCTCTACATAACTATTAAAAATTATTTTAATGTTGTTTCTCACAAAAGATAACCAAATTTAAATTTATTTTCATTTTTTTCTTAGTAATTTAATTCATTTATTTTATAAATTTACCTGCTTTAAATTAGGTGCGTTTTAAAAATTATACTATTAATTAATAATTAACCATATAACACGTGATTTTATAGCTGCAAAGTATCACGTGTGCTGGTGACATGTAACCACTGGAGTTTCTTCCGTTAACCTTGAGGGTGCACCCCTTGATGAAATCACTGAACACTGTTGATTGTGGGTTCGTGCCTGGTGTTTTCGGTTTTATTCACGTTTCTAATACCAAAATACATGCCAGTTTCCCTTATGAAGCACTCCTGGGATGATCCCCCTTTAGCAGATTGCCCACATGTCGCATTGCCGTATACAACGTAAACCAAACCGAAAAGAAAAATAAATAATTTACAATACATGTAAGAAATAATTTAGTTTTAAGGCAATTTTCTAGTACACAATATATTTATGATATACATAATTATTTTAATGTATAACAATTTTTTGGTCTTATTTCTATATTCTTTAGCCTGTCAAGAACGAATTCTCCATTCCCGACAAAAATTCTAATAGAAATGAACCGAACGTACTGTACAGTACAAAGTAAGTAACACGTTACAAGTTTATTTGTTAAATGTTCGTTTTAAGATCAGAATTTTACATATAATATTAACGCTTCCCGCCATTTATAATTTCGGTGGAGCCATGGTCGATTTTTAACCACAACAATTTAATAGTATCAATATCTTTAATAAGTAAATCTCCCTGAAAACTTGGATATGTCTAGATTCGATCCCGGGTCCCTCAAGGCCGTAGATTACAACCTCGACCACTCGGCCATCCGGCCCATATACTGTATTAAGGATTTTAAAATCACGTGATAAGTTTAAACCAACCAGGGGCCTTAGTCTCGAGTTTTTCGTGTTACAACTCCCAACGTGTTGAAGGTGTCACGTGGTACCATCTCACACACTGACGTCAAATTGGTAGTCTCGAGTTCTAACTCACGTGCTTTCCCATCTCACCATGCGAGTTGCTACTCACGTTGAGTCGAGCATGTGAGATCGCTACACGAAAGTAAAAATGGCTGACGGATACGCAATTCTTATCGCTATCGAAGAGTTAGAAAGAGCCGAAAGACGTTGTTTGAGAAGGCAACGAATTTTTCGACCACGAGTAGATGACATTTCTTTTCGTGTCAAGTCAATACTAATAAAAAAAACTTTAATTCATAATTGATAAATGTATACAGCAAATTTTTCTAAAAATAAAAAGAAGTATCTAATTCATCGAAAAAGAGTATTAAAATGATAGTAAATTATATGTATAGATTATTAAAAGCATAGACACTACATTAAGATTATTTATTAATCAGAAGTG